AGTTGGGCGGAGCCATAAGGGGGGTTCGGCGGAACCACCGGGGGGGGCACATTTTCAGGTTACCTCAGGTCCTCTATATTATTATAGTCGCCAAGCGGTGTAGGAACCTGCAAGTGTCACCGGGGTGTATTATTTGATACATTTGGAGCACCTCGGCATTTTCAGGTCGACCTGACAATTTGCAGGTTGGACCTGAAAATTTCCTCCGGGGCGTTTCATCCATTCTTTTTTCACACGGATGGTGCGTTCAGGTCGACCTGAACATTTTCATGTCTAAATGGTACCTCGCGATGTAGAAACCTGAAAACGTCACAAGAGTGTATTATTTCATACACGCGGGGCACCTGGGCGTTTCCAGGTCGACCTGAAGGTTGCCGGGTCGGACCTGCAAAGCACGCAGCATCCATTTTTTGGCCAGTGAAGGTTTGCTCTGGTCTCTCGGCAGCGGCCGGGACAAGGAGCCCCCCGCGCACCGAAACGAGCAAAGGCCTGAGGCGCGAATTGGCCCGACTCGCAACAGACAAAAATATCGTCGTCTTCAGCCGTTGCCGTCGCCGCCAGCGCCGCCGCGGCCGCCGTCGCCGCCAGCGCCGCCGTGGCCGCCGCCAGCACGAGCCTCTGAGCTTCCCGGGGGGGCCGTTCACAGCGGCAAGGACGGCCCAAGAGGCTCCCCAAATCGCCCCAACGCGGCTGAGAGGGGCCCTACCAGCGCCGCGGCGTCAGCGGCAAGGACAGGCGCCGGGCCCCCCAGTGGCTGGAGGTCCATATAGGGGTCGGCGCGCGCCCGCGGCGGTTCCCACCCGGGGGGGGTCGGAGTGACTCAGTGCGGAGGGCCAAAAAAATCGAAAGCGTGATCCTTCCCTTGTCTGTTCGGGGACTTTTCGGTACCATCGACGGAGGGCAGACCGTCCCAGCCAGCGAAATTGCGGCCCTGGTTTGGGCCCTTCGGGTCACCGCGGGGCCGCTTTGGCTTTGGACCGACTGCAAGGTCTTTTCCAGGGGCTGGCGCGAGGGATTGGCCGACAACCGGTCTGGTACTTTAGTTCGTTGGTGGCAGAGAGTCAAAGATGCCTTGCGAAGCAGGGATGGCGATAAGGTCGTAGTTCGTAACTGTTTTTTTCCGCACCTGGATGCGTATTTCCATTTAGCGGTAGGTCAGTGTGTGCACGCCTCGAGAGGGAACGAGATGGCGGATCAGTTGGCCCAGCGTGGAGCGGAGGCAGCGACGATCCCCAGCGACGATCCCCATCCGTACTGATCATAGCCGATGCTAGAGCCACCCTGGCGCACCAGCGTATGGGGGCGATCCTGGTCCACGTTTGCGAGGACCTGGACCGATCGGACCGTGGCGTTTTTGGCTTGGTGACGGGGCCGTCCAGGCTCCAGGGGCTCGAGGCCCAGTCGGGCCACGAGCTTGTCCGTTGGACCAGCGGTTTGTGGTCCCGCTAAAAGTATCTCCAGACCCCTGGTATGATCTCTGTCACAGAGTGGCTAGGGGGCACGACCTGTCTTGGGGACGTCACTAAGAGGGATCTGAGTGAGCAAGGCAACCACGTCTATGTCCCCCCCACTTGCATTAGAGATCTTCGGGTGGGGTCAAGGACGGTGCACCCCTCGCACTCGATCGCCATGCAGCATGGCTTGGCTTGGTGTTGGGGATGCGCCCGATATGCCCCCATCGTCGCTGGTAGGGGGCGCCTGTGTAAGTTGGCCCAAGAGTGCCCACATATTCGCACTCAGTCGGGCAAGACTACGATCAACCGAATTCGTAAGGGCCTCACTCCGAAATAGGGGATGAGATGGCCCATTCCCCCACCTGGGGGAAGCGGACCTCCTTTTCCTGTGGAGGGTAGTTCCAACAAGTATTTTGGGAGGAAGACGGACGGGGGGGTGCGCCGCTCGCTCCTGAACCCCCCCGGAAGAAAACGTTCAATTTTAGGTATTTAACTGACCGCGGGGGGGCGTCGCCCTGCTGCGGCCTCTATCAGAAGTAGAATCCCGTAGAATGCCCCCATGTGCGCGCCGCCCAAAAAAGGGGGAGGATAAGGATCAAGCAGTGGCGAGGCGTCCCGGCTTGCCTGTAGGCCCACCAAAGGATGTTCAAAGAGTATCTTGTGGTTTGCAGGGTGTGTGCTTAGAGAATGTATGGTTGAGGCCGCCTTGCTTTCACACATCGGTGTCATGACTGAGAACTTGGGAACTTCGCTTCTGTTCTAAGAACATCCTGTGGTTATGAGGACATCTCGTGGTAGGTCCGTAAGAATGTTTGGACGGCTGGACCCTGCTCAAGGGGAGGAGCAGGAGGGGGAGGATGGAGGATGGGAATGGGGAGAGGAGGCGTTCGGGAGCATCGCCTCGAGGAGGACGAGGAGGAGGAGGAGGAGGAAGAGGAGGAAGAGGAAGAGGGCAAGCTTACTTGCTTGGCATGTCACCCCCTTTTTGGCATTTCGCTACCCTGCCCCCCTCTCCTTTCCGCCGCCTTTTCGAGCAGCGCTAGGGTGCGCGGGGGGGTCTGGACCAACGTAAAGTTTCCTTGTTGTCGGGGGCCTCGCCACGCGCCCTCTTTCCTCGACGCAAGAAAACTCGTTGGAGTCTCAAGAGAAGCGAAGGAAAAGCCACAGAAACATAAACTGTTGGCGCTCCGCGCGGACTTCTTGGATCCGCGCCTGGGCCTCCCGGCGGCGCCTCCGGCGTCGCCCCTGGCGCGCTCAGCGCGCCAGGGAGGGGGGTCCAGCGCGGATCCCAGAAGTCCGCGCGGAGCGCGAAACGTTTATGTTTCTGTAGTATTTTCTTCTTCTAGAGAAACGCCTTCACTCGGTATCGTTGAATCGATCCCCATCCCCATCCCCATCTCCTGCGAGACCCCCGCCAGATTACCACCCCAGTTAGGGATACACCCTCACGATGTCGAGAACGAATCGCCGCTGGGGATGGGGATCGGTTAAACGATGCAGTGCCGTTTTTCTTACATGCTCCGCGTGCGGATCATGTATTGAAGATGCAGGGATATAGCAGTAAAAACAACGATGCGTTCATGCATGAATTTACTCATAAATGAATCATGCACTAAACATCCGATATTTCTAAAAATTATATGTATTAAAAACTGCCAATTTGTCGACCACGAATGCACGCCCTTTTTCACAGAGCTTCTAGCGATGAAGGAGGCCATGAGACTAGTGACTACTTGGATGCAGCTTTCCTAACTTGAACTTCTTTGTGACCGATCTTCCCAAGGTTCAGGATCGCCCGCCACGAAAAAAAAAAAAAAACTGCCCTGTACTCACTCCCGTCGAGAGCGAGCCGCCGCGTGGCAGTGTGGACGGCGCCGGGCCCTACGGTCCTGCGCAGCCTCCGGGCCTCCGGGGCCCTCCACGGGCCCAGGGGGGCGCGTCGAACGGCGGAGGATCGCAGGCCTAGAGGTTGACACCAAGACCAATTTCGGCGGTGTGCCTCCGACGAGGGAATGGAGATCCCGATCTCGGTGATGGTGGTAACATTCTGGCTTCCAAGGTGGCCGAAATGTTGCCACCAACACGGAAATCTAGGATCATCTTCCCCCTGTGGAGGCAACCCCCTGTGTTGGTGTTGGTGCCCATTTCCAGGCCTCCAATGAAGACGCACGACGAATTGCACGGGTGTTGAGTCGGGCGTGTCCCTCTGCAGCTTCTTGTCTGCAATCTTTGGAATCGTCGACGTCTGGTCTGCAATGGTGTGGAGTGAGGAGTCCGTTTCTGTGTTGCTTGGGGCATGACGGGCGTCATGGCCCCCGCTTCCACCCACCCCCCTTTATGACGTAACGCTCCCCCCCGCCAGTGCGCTCCCGGCACTGCCGCCGTGCGCATTGGGATCCGCGTGGGTGTCCGCGTGGGTGTCCGCAAAGGAATCTGGTCCGCAGTGGTCGTCGTCGTCGTCGTCGTCGTCGTCGTCGTCGTCGTCGTCGTCGTCGTCGCTCGTGGCTTGTCGCTCGTCGCTCATAGTCGTCGTGCGCGCGGACGCTGCTGAAGCCTGTTTTTTTTCCAGGCCGATGACGGCAATCATCTAGGGGGGGGTGTCGATGACGTCACGTTTCGCGGCGGCGGCGTCTGGGAATGCTTAGGAATGACGGAGGTCGGGTAGCGCCAGCATGTAGGTGGCGACTTGCACCACAACGCCTGAGTACACCACAGCGCCTGCGTGCACCACAACGCCTGTGTACACCACGCCGCCTATGTACCCCACAGCAGCCGCGTGCAACACAGCGTCAGTTTGTGCCACCGTGCCTGCGGGCACAACAGCTCTTGTGCACACCACAGCGCTTGCGTACACCACATCAGCCGTGCGCAACACAGCACCACTGTACACCACAATGCCTGCGTGCATTGCAGTGCCTGTGTACACCACCTTTTGGACAACGGAGCGCCGCTGGAATCTACTAGTCCTCCCGAGTCCGCCCGCACCACCCTAACTCCTCCCATCTGTGTCCAGGAGGCTCCAGCTAAATTTGCCGTCCGAGAACCAAATGGACCGATTCAATAGACCATTCTGCGGTGCGCGTTGGGATGCGCACGTGCACTGTAGCGCCAACCCGCACGACAGGGGTTAGGAGGAGGAGGAGGAGGAAAAGGAGGAGGAGGTGGGGGAGGTGGAGGAGGAGGGAGGAGGGAAAAACGTCGCATTCGATTATCAGCACTTTCCTGGCGTGGCGTCTAGTGTGTGTGTGTATATATAAATAAAATGAGCATGTTTCCCCATATCCCTGTCTCTTTCTCCCTTCTCCCAATCGGCCCTTCCGTTCTCCTCTTTGCCGTCCTTCACCCACCCACCCACCTCCCTCCGTTTTCTCTCCCCCCCTCCACCCACGCACTTCTACCCCATCCCCTTCTTCGCCGACATCTCTCGCCTCGTCCGCTTCCTTTCTTCCCCCCGACCTTCCCCCCAGTCTTTGCCCCCCTCCCCCATGTGCCCCCGCTTGCCCGTTTTCCTCGTCCGTCTCTGGCCCGCCCCCCCCTCCGCGGGAGGCGGAGCTGGAAGCCTGCTGGATCTGCCTCGGGGAGGAGCGCAACAGTGCCGAGTTGGGGCGGCTCTGCTCGCCGTGCGCATGCCGCGGCTCCCAGGGGTGCCCCTGGGATGCCGCGGTTGCCGCTGCTGCGGCCTCTTGAGGCCTCTTTGGGAGGGCGCCTGGAGTGAGTGAGGGAGGTGAGGGGGCCAGATGGAAGGGGGAAGTAGGGCAGCAGGAGGGGAGAACATGGGACTGGGCGACGCGGGAGAGGGAAGGGAGACGAGGGTGGGGAGGGCAGGAGACACGGGAGAGGGAATGAAGGTTGGGGACGGAACGGGTGCCCCGCGCCCGCGAGGTACGTCCACATGCGTTGCCTCAAGCAGTGGGTGCAGAAGTCCGTTGACCGTTTTGTTGTCCTGCTTTGCCGCTGTCTGAACGAAGCACAGCCATTACCTCGTACTCCTGATGGAGCCGCTGCTGCTGCGCTGCTGCTGCCACTGCCACCGCAACTGATGGAACTGCAAGTATCGAACGGCCTTCGGTCCATCCCGCCACCGTGCCTGGGTTGTGGGTATGAAGTCTGGTGGATGCTCGCTTCTCGGGGACCAATTGGAGGCAATTTGGATGGCTTGCGGGGGCTGCTTTCGGGCCGCTTGGGGCCTTTTGGGGGCCTCTTGGGGGCCTCTTGGGGCCTCTTGGGGGCCTCTTGGCGGCCTCCTGGGGCCTCTTGGGCGCCTTTTGGAGCCTCCCTGGCCGAAGGCTCAGAGTTTCGATTCGTGTTCCCTCTCTTGGGCCCCTTTTGGCGCCGTCTTGGGCGCCGCTTGGGTCGTCTTGGGCGCCTCTTGGGCCGTCTTGGGGCGCTCTTAGGCCGTCTTGGGGCCCTCATGGAGGCCTCTTGGGCCGTCTTGGGGTGGTCTTGGGGGCCTCTTGGAGCGTCGGAAAACAGAAAAGGCGATGACGCCAAAACCTTTCAAACATCACATTCAAGGAACATCAATGATTGTTGCCTCTTGGGGCCCCCTTTGGAAGGCCTCTCGGAGGCCTCTTGGGGCGTCTTCGAGGCCTCCCGAGCCATCTTGAGGCCATCTTGGGCTCACTGGAGCGATCTCTCGGCGACTCGGGGCCCTCCTGGCCCGTCTTGGGGGCCTCCTGGGCCCTCTTGGCCCGTCTTGGGGCCCCCTCGGGCCCGAAGAAGTCGCGCGACGAGGTGCGGGGGAGCCGAGGAGGAGGAGGAGGAGGAGGAGGGGGAGGAGGAGGAGGGGGAGGAGGAGGAGAAGGAGGAGGATGAGGAGGAGGAGGAGGGAGGAGGAGGGGGAGCCGAGCGGGGCACGCGGGAAGCCCTGGAGGATTGGAAAATTTGAAGATTGAGGCTTCGAGTCGGGGCCCTGAAGAAGGAACCCTTTTCGTTGGGGAGGGGCTCCGCGTTCCTTACGTGTTTCGCAGCTTGCCTCGGGTTTCCCAGGTTTTCGACAGGGAATCGAAGTTTAGCTTGTGGATAAAGGGGGCCTCGTTCCTTATTTAGGGTTCCTCAGGTCAACGCCCCGACTGTAGAGGATTGGGCAAAAGACCTGAGGGCACGCCCACTTCGTGCCCAGCGGCACTGCGGCGGATGCCATGGCTCGACCAGCGAGAGAGCCGGGGGAGAGGAGACGGACGAAGGAAGCAGGAGGAGGAGGAAGAGGAGGGAGAGGAGGAGGAGGAGGAGGAGGAGGAGGAGGAGAAGGAGGAGGAAGACGAGAAGAGAGAGGAGGAGGAGGAGGAGGAGGAGGAGGAGGAGGAGGAGACGGACGACACGATGATTGCCCGCTGTTCGCCCTGCCCCGTGGCTGTCTCCGTAGGCGCGCTCCAATCTGGAAGGGGAGCGACAGGCCAAGCATGCTGGTATTACCGGCGCGGAGTGAGCTCATGCTCCGAACGCCAACCGCTTGGGCAGACAGCGGCAGCAATGAACTTGCTCCACTCCAGATGAGTAGTCATAGTGCAGAAGTGGGCCAGATCGGGAACACGGTTTGGGTCATTGACATGCAGGGGTGTTTGCGGGACCCACCATTGGGGGGAAGGATGGTTGATTGGGGGTTTGGGTTGTGTTTCTGGTTGCCCTTCTATTGTCTTTTCTGTTTTTCGTGTTTTTGTTTAATTGATCTTTTTTTCTTTTATTTTTATTTTTTTCTTTCTTTTTCTATTTTTTTTTTTTTTATTTTTTTTCTTTTTTTTTTTATTTTTTTTTGTTTTTTTTTTTTTTTCTGTGTGCGTTGGAGCTCAGCATCGGGGGGCGGTCCTGGGGAGTTTGGGGGCCCTTTCGGTCGATCGATTTTGTGGCCTGGGCGATCTTGAAAGGCGTTTTCTACCGCTGCTGGTGGGAAACCGGGGGGGGTCACTACCGGTTCGAACCATTTCGAACCCCCCTCGAAACCGGGGTGGGGTCATACAGGTTCGAATCCCTCCCCACCTCCCCCCAGTCCATCAGAAAGCGGGGGGGGGGAGTGGTCCTTACGGTTCGAACACCCCCCCCCTTCGAACACTTCGAAAACGGGGGGGGTCACTACCGGTTCGAACCCCTCCCCCCCCCCCCTCGAAATCCGGGGGGGGTGCGGACAGTGGTGGGGAAGGTGGTGGTGGGGACAGTGGTGAGGGGACAGCGGGACAGTGGTGGGGACAGTGGGACAGTGGTGGGGACGGCAGTGGTGGGGACAGTGGTGAGGACAATGGTGGGAACAGTGGGGCCAGTGGGACAGTGGTGGGGACGGTGGTGGTGGGGACAGTGGTGTGGGGACAGTGGGACAGTGGTGGAAACAGTGGGACAGTGGAGGGTACAGTGGTGGTGGGGACAGTGGTAAAGGCGGTGGCGAGGACGGCGGTGGGACAATGGGACAGAGGTACAGTGGGGACAGTGGTGGGGACAGTGGGGACAGTGGTGGGAACAGTGGGACAGCTCAGTGGGATAGCGGAGGAGTCAATGGGACAGTGGGGACAGTGGGGATAGTCGGGCAGTGGTTGGGGCCGTGGAGAAAGTGGGGAGAGTGGAACCGTGGTGGGAACAGTGGTAGGGACAGTGGTGGGGGCACTGGTGGGGACAGTAGGGACGGTGGTGGAACCAGTGGGGACTGGTGGTGGGGACAGTGGTGCTGGGAACAACAGTGGGGTATGTGGTGCGGACGGTGGTAGGGACCTGGAGTCGTTTGCTGGCGGTGAGGGGGGGTGGGACGGGTTCGAACGGTATAGTGACCCCCCTTCGGTTTTCGAGGGAGGGGGGGCTTCGATTCGAACCGGTAGAGGTAGTGACTCCCCCCGGGTTCTTCGAGCGGGCGGGGGGAGGGGTTAGGGGAGGGGGGTGGGGGGGTGCCGGGGTGAGGGTAGGGGGGGGGGGTTTTTCCAGCTGGGGGGGGGGATTTTCGGAGGAGGGGTGGGGACCCCCATTTTCCACAGTAAAGCGGCGGTGGATCACGCTCTCTCTCCGATCTTGAGATCCTTGGACTTCGTCTTCCCTCCTAGAGCCCGCGTCTGCGGAGGTGGTCCTCAAGGTCGTTTTATAGCCATTTTGAGACCCCTGGGAGCCCCCCAGGGGTGGGGGTGAGGGGCTTGAGGTTTCCTCCAGGACCGTATTGAGAAGAGGGACTTCGTTTTTCTTGCTCTTGAGAGTTTGGCAGATGCGGACTGGGTTTTGGCCCAGAGGCCCGAGAGGGTGGCTGGCAGCAGCTTCTCGCGGAGTCAGGGGGGCGGCGCGTCCCGCGGACTTTGATGTCGCTGGCGCTTCGTCCTTGCAGTGATGGCTTGAGGGCCCTCGTCGCCACGGCTGGATCCGCCCGGACGTGTGCTTGGAGCGCGCGCAAGGGGGGTCCAGGGCCCATTCGCCTCCACGAGGGCTGCAGCGTGTGAGGGGGGCCTTATGGGGCCCGACGGGGCCCCCCTCGGAGCCTCCAGGCGGAACACACCTCTGGACTTGGCGACGAGAGGGGGCAGCATGGCGGCAGTTCAAGCGTTCTCTTGCGTGTGTCAGGCTTTCCGTGTCCTTTTGGAGCTTTTCTGAAATGATAGCAGGGCGTTCCACACGCCAGAGGTGAAGCGGAACAGGTGGCAGAGGGAAACAATCCAAGCGGCGCTGCCTCATATCTCCCAAGTAGAGCTGGCACATATGATGTGGCGCTGGGAGTGGTGCGGGGTGGATCGATCTAAGCCGCGCTGATGGAAATTATTCAAGGGAAGTTCCTCACACGGAATCTGCAGACGGTCATGCTGGGGGAGCGTAGCCAGCCTCTGGGGCGGAGGCCATCGCACCAGGGTCAGACCACATCATTCAGCGAGATGTTCTTCCATTATGATCTCCCTCCTCATCATCCTCCCCTTCGTTTCATCGCGGCTCTTCACATGGGCTCGTGTACGCATGCACGAGCTGTGAGCCTCTTTCTTGTTCCTCGCCTCCTCTGCTCCTCGCCCCTGCGAAGTATCCGCAGCTGGCCAGGCCCTCCTCCGATAAGCGAGGCGGGGCTGCATGTCTGCGGCGTTCCTCGGTCCAAGAGTCGGTGGGTCGGCGCCCCTGGTTCGGGGCAGCGTAAGACCCGGGTTTGCCAGGACTCGGGTTCGCCTTTTTTTTTTGACGACCGCGACTCGGATTTCGACGAGTAGGAGTTTCGTGGGATGTCTGCAGCGGGAGGCCTCGTCAAAATGCAGGCTCGGCCTCGTCATTTTTTTTGACGACCTCGTCGGGGATTTCCGAGTCCCCCGTACCTGGGTCTTACGTCTCCCCGACTGGTGGACGTGATGCTGGCATAAACCATTCGCTGTGTCGAGGTTCGGTCCCTCACACTTGTTCCGTTGATCCAAAGCGGCGGACAGGTGAAGCGATCGGCGTTCGGTGCAGGAGCCAAGGTTGCAGCAGGCATCTTGGGCCGATTCCGTATGACTTGCAGTGGAATTGTACACCGGGGGGCGCTCTCGTTCTTTGTGAGAGGTCCTTGGGATTTTCGCGACCTCAGGTGGCCGACCCTGGAGAAGAGACGTCTAGGGACTGCTGGGTCTGTGGAGAGTCTGAGGTCGAGGGCGGCCCAAAAGGGTTTCAGGATTCAGCTTCTGGAGACGATTTCGGGGTATCTTCAGCGGCTGTGCTTCCTGCCAAGGTTTCAGGCGAACGACGCCCGACCGTGGTCCCAGCTTGCCAGCACAGGGCTCGGGCTCTGGAAATCGGGGCACGAGGCCGCGTCAGAAAGCGCGCACGACAATTTTCCAGTCGACAGCCTTCCTCTCAAGGGCCTCTCGGTCGAGAGGTCAACATCATGTCGTCGTAGCAGCCTCTCCCTTATCCATTTTCCCTCTGGGTATCCTTTTCCATTGCGCCTACCCCCTAGACCTCTAAGCTTCTCTTCCTTATCGTACCTTCCTTTCCTAGGTCCGTGGACAACACCTACGGTCGTGACGTCCTGCGCACATTGCGGTGCCCCACCTGCAAGGACAGGGCAGAGGGTGGCGGTAGCACCGATGCCTCTAGGAGGGATGGGAGCAAGGCAGCAAGAGCAGGAGGGGGAAGGGCAGGGGAGGAGACGTGATGCGATGCGAAGCATCGGTGAGGGCACTGTCCTCGGCCGAGACGAAGCAAGTGTCAAAATCATTCGAAAACCTGCGGGAAATCAATGCTTTTGGTCTTTTCGGGCCTTCCTGGAGGCCCTCTTGGAGGCCACTTGGGCCATCTTAGTGACATCTTCGGCCGTCTTGGTGGGCTCCTGGCCCGTCTGAGGCCGTCGGAAGACGTTGAGTGGGGAGCCTTTCTGGGCTTTCTTGGGGCCCTCTTGGGGTGCTCCAGGGCCGTCTTAGATGCCATCTTGGGCGTCTTGGAGGCCTCTTGTGTCGTCTTTCTGCCCTCTTGGGGCCGTCTTGTGGGCCTCTTGGGCAGTCCTGAGGCCATCTTGGAGGCCTCTTGGGCGCTGTGGGGGCGACCTTGGGGGCCTCTTGGGCCGTCTTGGGTCGTCGGACAGCCGAGAAGAAACACATGCGAAAATCATTCAAAACCCAAAGGCAGATCAATGACCTTGGCCTTTTCGGGCCCTCCTGGAGGACCTCTTGGATGCCTCTTGGGCCGTGTTGGAGGCCTCCTGGGGGGCCTCTTGGGCCGTCTTCGGCCGTCTTGGGCTCTCTTTTGGGCCGCACGGGAGGCCGTCTTGGACCACATTGGGCGGACTTGGAGGCCATCTTGGACCATCTTGGAGGCCATCTCGGGCCAACGTGGCCATCTTGGAGACCATCTTGGGCCATCTTGAGCGAATGGTTGGGAGATTTGCGGGCCTTCCGGGTGGCCGGCGGGACGGGCCGACGCCCCAGGGGGGGTTCTTTTTGGAAAAGAACCAAAGCCAAACCGAAATCGTCCAGCACGCCAGGCAACCCTGTGACGAATCAACAGGGGGCGGCGGATCGAAGACGCCTACGGCAAAACACCGCCGCCCCTGCCTTCGTGGAAGCGCCTATGTTGCCGAACGTTTAGGCCAGAGCAGCCAAGCTATCGGGCCATGTGTTCCCCGAATCGGTTTGGAAAACCTTCGGAGAACATGTGGGCATCTGGAAGGTCAGCTTGGCCGCCTGGAGGCCATTCTGACCCTTTCGGGCCTTCTTGGAGGACGTCTTGGAGGGCTTTTGGGCCGTCTTGGAGGCCATCTTGAGCGTCTTGGAGGCCTCTTCGGCCGTCTTGGGGGACTCTTGGGGCCGTCTTGGGCGATCTTTGGGGGCACTTAAGCCGTCTCGGGCCGTCGAAAGGCCGAAACGAAGCAAATGCCATAATCCTTGAAAACTCATTGGACATGATTTTGGCCTTGTCGGGCCTTCCTGGAGACACTCTTGGAGGCCTCTTGGGCCGTCTTGGGCGATTTGGAAAAAAAAAAAAAAAAAAAAAAAAAAAAAAAATGAAAATGCGTTCCTGCCGGCCCTCCGGCCCTGCCGGCCTGGCCGGGCTTCTCCTGGGGCCCTGCCGCCCTGCCGGCCCGGGACGGCTCATGCCCGGCCCTGCCGGCCTTGCGGGCCCTGCCGGCTCGTCAATTCATTTAGCTTATCCGTTTTTTTTGTTCTGGTGTTATTTTTTTTTTTTTTTTTTTTTTTTTTATTATTTTGTTATTTTATCATTTTTTTTTTCTTTTTTGTTTTCTTGTTATTTTTTTTTATTTTTAGTTTCTTTTTTTCTTTTTTTTTTTTTTTAATGTTTTCTTTTTTTTTTTTTTTTTTTTGCTTATTTTTCTCTTTTTTTTTTTTTTCTTTTTTTTTTCTGGCCGGGGGGGGCCCTGCCGGCCCTGCCGGCCCTGCCGGCCCTGCCGGCCCTGCCGGCCTGGCCGGCCTGGCCGGCCCTGCCGGCCCTGCCGGCCCTGCCGGCCCTGCCGGCCTTGCTGGCCTTGCCGGCCTTGCCGGCCCTGCCGGCCTTAGTATTACCGGCCCTGCCGGCCTTGCCGGCCCTGCCGGCCTTGCCTTGCTGGCCTTGCCGGCCCTGCCGGCCTTGCCGGCCAGCCCGCGGTCATCTTCAGTCTCTGTTTTTTTTGTTTTAGTCTCTTGGGCCATCTTAGGGCCATCTTCGGCCGTCTTGGTGGGCCCCTGGCCCGTCCGACGCCGTCGGAAGCCCTTTGGGGGGCCTCTCTGAGCCGACTCGGGGCCCCCCTGGAATGCTCCAGGGCCGTCTTGGAGGCCATCGTGGGCGCAGAACTCAAAGTCGCCCATGGGCGCACTGAGCAGGGCGCCTTGTGCTTGAATTTCTACGTCAAGCACCTTGGGCGCCGTGGGTTCGCCGTCGGAGGGTTGCTAGGGGAGGATGACCACACCGAGGCATCCATGCCTTCGAAGGCACGCGTTCACCGCGCTGCCCTTTGGGAGGCTGCGACTCCGAGTTTCAACGGTGCAGGCGTCTTCTCGATTGCAGAGGCAACCTTCTAATGTTGACATGCGTGCGGGGTGAGGGCAATGCGCACCGTTTGCGCAAACGGTGTTTCTGTTTCTACCATGAGAAAAATGTGCCGCATGCGGCGTCATAGATCAACGCAGGCGTCGTCACGACACGAATCTTCCCCGTATACTGGCTTCGTGGGGGAAGTCGCCGCGCTGTCTGGCGAGGGCTTTTGCGCAGGGCTTGCCCATCCATGCCGCTCAAATGGGCCGGAGTCGAGGGTGTCAGCGGGGTCGGTCGGTTCTGTTGCGTCGCAGCCGAGTTCGATCCGGCCGGTCAAAAAGCAGACGACTTCCGTAGCTCCAGGCCGATCTTCTCGGGTCGGCGCTCGACAACCTCGGCGGCTTCGGCTTGGATCCAGGATCGGGGAGCTTCTGGGATCCAGGTCGGGGAGCTTCTTCGTGGTCGAGGCTCGCCGTGGTCAGACGGGCCTCCTTCAGTACTTGTTCCGCGAACCTCGGTCGCGCAGAGGTGTCCTGAGGCAAGAGATGGCGCTGGAGGGGTTTCTCTGTCGTCTGGGGGCACCCAGGGCCCTCCCTGGGCCCTGCAGAACCGCCAAGGGAGAAAGGCGGGCTCTGCGCCCGGAGAGCAGCCGTACCGATCGACGATTCAGGCAACTCGACGGGCGGCGGGGGTAGGGTTCGGAATTCGTCAAGCACGTGGTGAAATCCGAACCCTACTACCCCCGCCTCCCATCGATTTAGGAGCATCGATGGTTGGTGGGGTTGGGGCTCGAATGCCGCCACCCAGGCATGCTCACAGGGGCCCTCCTGCTTTTTGTTCATATTTTTTTTTTGCAAAAAGAAAAAAACGGAGAGCTGGTCCTGGGGGAAGGCCAATCATTCAGGACTCAGGACCCGCTTTCATGCCAAGGCGACTCGGAGGCAACCCCGGCACGGGCGGTCAAGCTTGAACGCCGCCACTTGCCCATCATCGGCCAGCATGAAGCGATCTGGCGATCGGAGAGCCGCGATCGTCAAGGTTGAGTGATGCAATGCGGCGTCAGACCGTAGCCATTGTCGCTATTTCACGTGCGTGCACACACCATCCTTTGAGACTGGACCTGCGCAGTTCCCTCTCACTCGGACCTCCGGCAGTTGGGATGGCGGCGACCAGGAGTGCACCATGGATCGTGTACGTGGCGCTATTGGTTCAGGGCGTATCAACCGCGGCTTCCATGATGGTGAGCGAGGGCGTCCATCGCGGTATCGACCCGCACAACGCTTCGCGCACTAGTGACAGTATGAAGGAGGTGCATGAAGTGCAGGAAGTGAGCGGGATGCCCGCGCAGCGTTCAGCTGGCTACCAAACCTACAGTCTTGGAGGAGTCAGCCATTGCTGCACTTGCGGTTGGAATAGTTGGTGGACCTCGGCGACAATTACCGAGCCAATCACGACGATCCAAATGAGTGGTTATTGGAGAGACCAGGGCTGGGGGGGCTACAAAGGCTACATCCGTGTTGTGGTGGGGTCGGAGTCGTATAACTATGGTGTGGCACCTCATTCCAGATCGGCGTTTTCGTTCACCTGGACATTGCCCGCGCCCTCGGCATCTGGCAGTCAAGTAGCGCTGTCTTACAACGTTGGATGGGGAGGCGGGCACTGTCTTTACGTCGATGCTGGCGCGAGCCTGAAAGTGACCACCGCGACGCCAAGCCCGACGCCCTACCCGACGCCCTACCCGACGCCCTACCCGACGCCAAACCCGACGCCGAATCCGACGCCAAACCCGACGCCCTACCCGACGCCCTACCCGACGCCCTACCCGACGCCAAACCCGACGCCGAACCCGACGCCGAACCCGACGCCCTACCCGACGCCCTACCCGACGCCCTACCCGACGCCCTACCCGACGCCCTACCCGACACCGTTTCCGACGCCCTACCCGACGCCCTACCCGACGTCTTTCCCGACGCCATTTCCGACGCCCTACCCGACGGCGTTCCCGACGACTTTCCCGACGCCATTTCCGACGCCCTTCCCGACGGCCTTCCCGACGCCGTTTCCGACAGCTTTCCCGACTCTCTTCCCAACCGGCTTCCCGACGCCGTTCCCGACGCCCAGCCCGACCCCCAGCCCAACGTATCCTCCGGGCTGGCCGACGCCGCATCCGACGTTTCTTCCTGGAGCTCCGATGGCAGGTGGAGCGGGCGCAGCCGTGGCTGCCACTGGCGACCCCCACCTTCAGAACGTTCTCGGCCAGCGGTTCGACTTGATGAAACCAGGAAGGCATGTTCTGATTATTGGGCTTACGCCACACCGCCGACGGCGGCCCTGGTAGAACCTCCCTCCCTCCAAATCGACCGGATCCGGCTCCCGGGGGAGGGGTTTGGGGAGGTGGAAGCATCTCACCCGCCGATGAACACCAAGGGGTCGGCGGATTAACATCCCCCGTGGAAGGCGTTCCAATGCAATGCTTCGCGTGGAGGCTGAGGCGCGGCAAGTTGGAGGGCAGTGCGCAGACATGTATTTCCACGAGCTGAACATCACAGGTGCGTGGGTGGAGGCGAAGGGAACCGACGGTCTCCATTTCCAAGCCGAGGGTGCGCGCGACGAGCATCCGCAGTGGTTAAAGTTTGGGGGCGTAGAACTCAAAGTCGCCCATGGGCGCACTGAGAAGGGCACCTTGTACTTGAATTTCTACGTCAAGCACCTTGGGCGCGGTGGGTTTGCCGTCGGAGGGTTGCTAGGAGAGGATGACCACACCGAGGCATCCATGCCTTCGAAGGCATGCGTTCACCGCGCTGCCCTTTGGGAGACTGCGACTCCGAGTTACAACGGTGCAGGCGTCTTCTCGATTGCAGAGGCAACCTTCTAATGTTGACATGCGTGCGGGGTGAGGGCAATGCGGACCGTTTGCGCAAACGGTGTTTCTGTTTCTACCATGAGAAAAATGTGCTGCATGCGGCGTCATAGATCATCGCAGGCGTCGTCACGACACGAATCTTCCCCGTATACTGGCTTCGTGGGGGAGGTCGCCGCGCTGTCTCGCGACTGCTTTTGCGCAGGGCTTGCCCATGCATGCCGCTCAAATGGGCCGGAGTCGAGGGTGTCAGCGGATCTCGGGAGCCTTGAGACGGGGGTCAATGCAGACGGGGGTCAGCCAGAGCGCCGGATCCTGCAGGATCATGCGAAGACCCCCTCTGGCTGACCCGGGTTAGCGAGCCGCTCGTGGCCGCGAACTCTAAAGTGAGTTGGGATACAGGCGAGAGGTAACGAGCGTGTGTCCGCGGCCGTTTGTGCTCAAACGGCCGGCCGCCCAAATCTGATTACACCTCAGCGCGAGGTGTACCATTCGCCATCGAGACCGAAAACATCCTTCGCTTGAGATGGCCCGTCGCTCTCGCGACGACTTACTGCTGGGATTGTCGCTACTACGATATAACAGAGCTGGAGCTGGGCTTCGCTTAAGGCGAAGCTGCTGGTTGGGCCTCCCAACCCCTGTCAAACTTGGTAGCGGAGCTGGCCTATGGTGGTCAGCTCTTGCTCTACTCCTCACCATCCACGGCGCTATGTGGTGGACTGCTGACGTGGTGGAACGTCAGGGTGCAGTGGGTTTGCACGGAGGAATGTATACAACTACGGAACATCGCAAAGACACTTGCAGTGATACCTCTGCCTACGCAGAGGCCTCTTACTCGTGTCCTACATCCCTGCGCTACTGCACTCCTGAAAGTCCACCCACCTACTCCAATTGGAAACTTTTTCGGTGACATAATGCATGGAAACATGCGATACGACATTGCACCGCCTCCACCCCCACGCAGGCTCACGACCACATACCGCAACCCCCAACCAACCACATCCGACCACAACCTGCGAGGCCATTGGATTGGTATTACTATCTTTGGGCTCGCATGGGTTGCTATCGGGTGTGCGGTGGGACATATGCGTGGCGGAGACGACACAAGAACGACCGGCCCCCATTGGGACCCGTCCGGTCAAGTACCTTTCCGCGAATTCGCTCGCGAGGCGCATGCCTGGATCAACGTGACCACAGGCAACATGACGCCTTCCCAACAAGCTGCAGCCTTGCAGCGTAGCTTGGGGGGCCTCGCACGGACCATGGCCATGAGAGTTCCCCCCGCAGTTATCAATTTCGGCGTTAACATAGGTGGCCGCTATACCAGTGGCGCCACCGACATCATGTTCCTCGTACGTACGAAGTTCGAGAACCTAGAAGAGGAACGCCAACTCAACTCTGGTACAGCTCTCATTGACTTCCGAGTCCAATGCGGGAGAACGGATCGACCAGACCCTGGCGCGCTTCGAGATAGCCCGCTATGAAGCTGAAACGGCAGGCTTTAACATCCCCAACTTCCAAATTCAAGCAGTTATTTCATTCAGAGCCCTTGGAGTGGGGACGTCACGTGCACAACAACTCCTGTAACCACTATACCACCGCATGCCGAGGGGCCAGCAACAGTTTGACTCTCTACTTGAACGCATGAGGTCATGTGCTCACATTGCTGAGACAACCCCTGGCAATATTGGTGGTATCTTCAGTCACGGTCACCGAACCGAGACCTTCCATGTTGAGGCAAACGCAGGGCATTCTGCTAATAACGTCGGGGATGGCGATCCGCAGCCGACAGAGACCGCCACATTACTGGCTCAGAACGGTGGTTCAGCCTCGGGGTCGCAAGACTCTTGGGCCAGGTTCCAGGGGCCGCCCGATGCGGTGGCCCTTGCGCAAGCCACAGCCCTAATGGGCTCAGCGGGGCAACCTGCCGAGTCCGACTTCGGCTCTGGGACCGACACCGACACGCCTTCGGACGACGAGGCGACCGCCCTAGACTACTCCGACATGCCCACGTACCTCACTGAAGAATAACAGGCGAAATGGTTATTCTTAGGATACCAGATACATAAGCGCAGGTGGGGACGATTTATGAAGAAGCCAGTTCGCAAGGTGCGGCGCGCTATCCGACGGGCACTCAGGGGAAATGGCAAGGGTCGAGGTTAGGGTAAAGGTAAACGGCGGCGATTGCACGGCAGAGGCATGCCAGCATTTCTAGCATCCCTTACCGGGCCACAATATGAAGATATGTTCCTACGTGCAGGCAGGAATCGTAGGCACGCATCAGGAAAAGGTTCGGGACGTCGGGGCACGCCGAAGGATGCCAACGGCAACACTATGGATTACGATATCTGCCATCGCACTCAACAGTTCCGCCGCGAATGCCCTCAGGGCGATGGGAGAGGCAGAGGTCCGTCGATGCATCTGGCTCAATCTGACTCGGACATCAGTATGTTGGCTGGGAGTCACTTTTGGCCGACCCTGCCGACAGCTCAGTTGCAGTTGTTAACTTCACGGCTGCCAGATGTTTGAGTGCCAGTATGTCCCTTGGGAAGTATGCCGACGGGCTGTCTGGGGAGATATTCACTGGCCACAATGAGATCGATCTTGCAGACTGGCTGGGCATACCCATCGAGGGGCAACCTGCCGATATTGAATTTGTCGAGAACTTCCACGTACCCGCCGAAGGAGATGGCGAAATAGCGGTGGCACCCGCGGATTCAGAGGCCACCATTCCTGCGACAGGGGAGGAAATAGAATTGATGCTCCTCGGGTTATTGGCATTCCGACATACATGGAATTGAGTGAGAATGATTTTTTGCGGGGGAACCCGCGAGATGCCGGTGATCTGTCTGAAGGCGCCCAGTGCGAGCTCGGCCACAGCGAAGGACTTCAATCTACATTCGTAGCTTCGGACCGCCCCATGAGCCGCCAGGAGCGATCGGCAAGCCGCCTGGCCTGGAGACGCAGGTATCGCGCCGACGACGATGACGAATAATGGGAAGATGACGCGCGTCTGGCACGTCGCGGTCGGGCCCGCGGCGGCTCGCCCGACCGCGCGCGCTCGCTCTAGCGGCCCCCAGCGCCCTCGCCCCCCTGATGCGAGGATGCCAAGGAACCCTCCATGGAAGGACAATAGACCTGACGCCCCCCCGAGGAGGGGGCGCTTGCGGGGGCGCCCGCTTCAATGGGGGGAGCCTCACGAAGAATATCCAGAAGACGAAATACAGCGCCTTGTGGGCTATTCGGATGCTGGGTTGGCTCGTCAGCGCATAGACCCGTATACAGTGCGACACTGGTTGAACAAGGGTTGGGCAGGGCCCATATTCGTCATTGGTGACCCCACGCCCCCGATAATAAACCCTAAGGGGTAATGAAGTTCGGGGTTTTCGGGGGGATAATAAAAGTTGCCCGCCAGAGTCAGCATGAAGAGAGATCAAGCTGCCAGGGGGAGAAGGAAATCCAAAGAACATGCATATATGTATATATATACACATATATATATATATGGGAAAAGAAGAAGAGCAGGGGGGCAGGGGGAGGAGAGAGGAGCGGAGAAGGAAGAAGCGAACATCCAAAGTTCAAAACTTATGAGATTTAATGTGTAAGCGCTTACTGGAAATTAAGGTTTCCATCTGCTCGCTCTGCCTAGTTCCCCCAGGATAATCAACCGCAGCGATAAACAAGTTCAGGGGGCAGGGAGACAAGAAGAAAAATAATTTGAAAGAGAGAGAGAGAGAGAGAGAGAGAGAGAGAGAGAGAGAGAGAGAGAGAAAAATAAAGAAAATAAAGAGCAGACGGATGAGAAGGAGGAAGAGCAGGGGAAGCAGAGGAAGAGGAAGAAGCAAACATCCAAAGTTCAAAACTTATTAGATTTATTATGTAAGCGCTTAATGAACATAAATATTTTCATCTGCTCGCGCAGGGTAGCGCACGCGCTTAGTTCCCCAAGGATAACCAACCCCAGCGATAAACAAGTTCAGGGGGGCAGGAGGGCAAGAAGAAAAATAAATAGAAAGAGAGAGATAAAGAAATAAGAAAAGAAAGATGAGAATGATGAGAAGGAGGAAGAGCGCGAGAAGCATGAGAAGGAAGTAACCTCGATGGCGAACTTTCCCAGTGATAATGAAGTTCGGCCTCCGCGCCCCCGCGCCCCCGACCAAACTCTTACTGGTCGGCGATGAAAAACTCTAACTACTTCAGGGGGGGGGGGGGCATTATGATCGTGGGTATGGGGTTATTCTCTTCGCAATGTTGACCAACATGAAAAAGGCAAGGTCGTTCGCCCAAAGAGGGCAGGGGCTGTCAAAGCACAAGAAGCCCTTATAAAGCGCGACCTCAAGAGGGCCATCATCGAGGAACGGAAACTTTACAGAGGCGTTGTTTGCACGTGCTTCGAGCGTGCCGGCCACGGGCTCGGCTGCCCCATGAGACGCCCATCAAGGGGCCCCAACTTCCGCGAGACACCGTGGGTCTGGTCTCACAGCGATGGTCGGGGTTACTGAACCGATCCGAATAAAACACCATACAACGAGCAGTTGACGGAAGACGACTACGAACAAGCTACAGCCCAAGCGATATCTCAAGCTGTTAAGATGCGGAAGATCTTTCACCTGTCCATCATTAAAGTAGATTCAATTACGATTGCAATGCGGTGAAGCCTGCTTCGCCCAAACCAGAAGGAGACGACCAGCAACAAGAAGATGAGAAAGCTGGGGGCATGGCCGCAGCGGTAGACCTCCTGAAAGCAGCTCCTGCAGGATACGCCTCGGATTACTCCGACTCCCTCTCCACTGTCACGGACGTCCATTACGACGCGTGCACCTCCATTGACCCTATGGACATCGCCACGAAAGACATGGACCTTTCCCCAGGAAGAAGAGTCGTCTACCGTGCTGGATCTGCAGGTTGGGTAAAGACCATGATTAAATGAAGGTTGCGCGCTGACAAATATGACCTGACCGTTAGGGGCGAGGCTACTATCGGGGATGCGGCATCCAGAAAGCTTGACAGGGGGGGCCTTCACCCTGGCAGAGGGCCCGTGCGCTATGGGCCATGGATGCCCGCAGGGGCAACGCCAAAGGCACGTCCTCCCAGGCCGAAGGCGCCTCTCCGCCACCGGCGGGGCCTGCCCCCGCCCGCAGGGCCGCTGTCGAAGGAGCAGTGATGACTTGCTCGACGCGCCCCCTCAGCCGCTCCAGCAATGGCTGCAACCCAGCGAACTGGGGCCTGCGCGATGAGTCTTCCATGGCGTGTGCAGCCAATGTCAGCGCTTGCCGCAGTCGCGCTTCAAATCGGCACGACGCCAACGCGCTAGTCTCCCCGTCAGGCACGTAGGCCGTGCCTCGTATGAGAACCACGCGGCGCTCGGCCAGAGTGCGAGGCGGCACCTCAAGGACTGACACCTGGTACTCGGG